CCTGATTATATATTATATATATATATATACTTCCTGTATAACCTTCATACACAGGTGTATGAAGTCTGTTGGCAAATTTGTTTGCATTTGCATCCAAATAATTTATACGAACAAATCACAGCCTAATAAGAGATATAAAACGTGGAAAAAGCATGAAATGAAAAATGGGGAAGCTTTCCCCATGAGCACCTTCGCTTATCAAAATAATTAAAGATCACAGCTACATTTTATATTAATTTATTAGAAAACACATACCCAGTTTAATGTGCAAATATATACAACAAATATTACAGTGAAACATGAGGAAGGCAAGCCCCTTCCCGCTATCAATGACTTATTCCTTCGTAACAGAGATGACTGTTTAATGCTTCCCCATAGATTTACAAATACAAAAAACGTATAATGCTTCGTTCGCACAAGACAAAAGTTTATTTTTATTTGAACTAAAAATATTCTGGCTTTGACATGGCAAAAGTCTGCTATTTTGGTGGCTTTTTTTTTTTTTTTAAAAACCTGAGCAAGTTTTGCGGAACAGGGGAACAAAGGAAAGGCATTGCCCTGTGCTTCATTCTCATCGCAGCATCTGATGGTCTTTGAATTACTAAACCACTGAATCACTTCAAAGTGAATGCAGCTCCAAAATCTACATCTACAACGTAATTAGTGACACGGAAGAGAGCAGGCGCTACCGTTGGCAAAAGGGAGCTGGCTGAACACACCTGGCTCGAGTTAAACGGCTGTTGACATTTCTCAGGTAAAGTGTTCCTATCTGCCAGTAAGGAATTTAATGCTGCCTCCTGTAATAAAGGAATTATAAATGGAAAATGCAGTTTGGTCCAAAAAGCAAATGAGTCTTGGATCTTGCTATGCCTCGTTCAAATGCGTGATCATTGAAAGCCTGCAGAGTAAGGCCATATTAAACCTGAAGCGAGTACAGACCCTGGGAATGCGTGTAGCTCCCGGGAAGCACTGAAATCCTGCTCGCTCCAGGAAAGACGTTCAGATCAGATTGATTTCTTTATGATTCTTTAGGATGTATTTCAAGCAGGTGTTTGACACAGGCTATTCTTGCATTCAGTGGCCACAGACAATTTCAGTAAAAGAGACCCACCTCGTCTCCGGCTCCCTCCCGTGCCTGGGTGCTGGCACGCCGGCTCGCTCACCGGCTGTGCCAACGGCGGGGCGAATCCAGCCGATCACCCTAGCAATAACCACAGGACTGAAACCATTTGGCGTGCTTGTTTTCCACGTTGTCCTGCAACCGAGCTTCATCTGGCAACTCCACAGAGCGACATTTCCAATTAAGCAAAAACTATTCTGCTCGTTTAGCGCTCCTCTCCATTTTAAACGTGAAATCGCAGTGGTGCTGGAGAAGGCACTGCAAGTCCTGAGCCGGGCGATGCCGGTTCCCCCAGGAGACAAGAGTTTCCTCAGGGAACCACTGGCTGCCCGACGCTCATTTAGGTGCAGAGCCTCTCCCTGCATCAGCTCTCATGACAATTTTTAAAGAAATGCACACAAATAACAACATAACAGACCCACAGCATAAACAAGACGCGACCAGGAGCGTGCCTGGCTGACCCCGGAGCCAGAGCTAAGCGAGGGCTCTTGCCTGGGCTACACTTTCAGACATGACACTGTCAAAAGCTGACTCAGGTTTCAGGTCCTTTCACAGGTTTTCCTTCCTCTTTGGCCAAGGGATCAGTGTTTAAGAACAGACTTAATTAAGCAGTGACTCCTTTTTGCTCTGTAACATCCCTCCTCTCCCACCAGCAGGCTCTACGGGTGCCGGCCCCCGGCCGCGGCGGTCGGCAGCATGGCAGAACCATGGGTACGTCCGTCGTCTGCTACAGCAGGGCTGCTGTGCCTCCGTTTGCACCAAAATCCTTAACGATGGGATGGCCACAGCAGGTTTGGCCTTTGCTATCCTCCCACCATCCTCCTCCTCTTTACCCTCTTTGGAGTATTGTGGAATTTGACTAAAACAAAAACATAAAAACCTTGGGGGAGGACTGCTCTGCTTTAAACACTTTTTTTATTATTATTTTTTTAATTGCTTCTGTTTCTTGTGTTGTGCTTACACAAGAATGCATGTCATGGACCCTGGAGCAGCAGGTAAAAACACACCTTAAATGAAAAATCTGAATAAACCCCAAACTTCGCTTGTAGTTCAAAAGTGAAAGTTAGAAACCAGTGAGCAGCCTTTGATCAAGATAAGAGAGCGGTGGGGGCAAGCAGGGGACACGCGGAAATTGAAAGGGGGCCATCCTGGTCTAAGGACAGTCCCCGCCAAGCTGGGTGTTTATGTCTTTCTAGGGGGAAAAAAATACCAAAAGAGCTCTTTCTTTTCTAAACTTCTGAACGATCCATTAGCCAGGTTTGTCAAAGTTTAAATATTTTTACAATAAAGTAGAATAACAAGGGAGTCAGTTGTCTCCAATAACTCGGTGTTTTTCCACTTCAGCAGATTTTCTGACAGCATGAAAAGAAACACTCCAGTCAAACATGAGCTGATTTGTATGCTATTGCAATCCGCATTGGAGGCTGCCATGCCATCACTCTGCAATTTGGGATCTGCAGTAGCATAGCATAATTTTACCTGCTCTTTGTGGATATTTTCTGTCCCCTACTGTAATACATGTCTTAGCTGGTCTTTTAACTCTTTCAGTAAGGCAGCATACACCAAAAGCTTTCAGTGACAGGTATTATTTGTACACCTCGAAAGGCAATTCTTTTGAGCAGAAAGGCAAACGTCTCTGTAACTGTGGCCCTTCCTTACTACGTCTCTCTAACACCTCTGTGGAGGTGCAGATCTCCATCCACCGCCTCTCCCCAAACCCACTTCCCCTGTAGCAATACCACGCCCAGGGCACAGTTGCTCAGAGCTCTCCTAAATCATTTTCAGGACAAAATAACTGGGTTTTAACAAACTAAATTTCACACCAGACAGATGGGATTTATATGGAAAAGTCTGCATTCTTTTCAAAACTTTTATGAACACTAACTTTCATTTTAGAACTTTGGGGGTGGGGGGGAGGAGCAGAGTAGGAAGAAACAGTAGGTCAGCTACCTGCAGTATAAACCCCATTTTTCCAAGCAGCTCTAGTCCAGGACACTTTATGCTCACAGGCCTGGGTGCCCAGTTTGCCCCAGAGTTAATAAAGGCGCTGGTGAAGCTCTTTGCTCTTGCAGGGTACGCTAATAAGAGCCTGGTCACCACGGATCCCCAGTTTTGTATTTGCTCTAAAGAAGCAGCGAGACTTGCAAGCACTTCAGCTCTCTTGAGGTAGGAGAAAAATGGTGTTTCTGTTAGCTACGCTGCCTCTCCTAGCAGGACGTGCGACTCAGCTGCGTCCCTCAGCCTCCCAGAGTGCCCAAATGGCTGAAGCAGAATGGGTGCATGGAGGACAGTAAGTAGGAGGAGCCTTGAAATGCCAGTGGTTTCTGCAATGACATTTCTACCTCTGTTTGGTAAATCAGCACTTTTGGGATGTCAGATTACAGTAATACAACGTGGTAGCAACAGGCACGTGAAGGGAGGCCAGTGACTTGGCACTGTCAAGGAGGAAATCTCATGTAAGGGTCCTGGGCTGTCTGTCCTTGCTGACAGGATCAGAGCTCTTCTGGCTAGCGGGACTTACCTGCATGAGCAAAGCCTGCAAGATCAAATCCAGTGTGGGTCACTCAGCGGTACTGCGTACTTCCACGATTCAAGTGGCTGTGTACCTCCTTAAAATAAAGATTGCAGCCAAGCTTTTAAAGTTAAATATGTTATAAACTCTACACATATGTGATCCTGAGATAGTGCCTGTAACAAGCCCCAAGGTAGATAAGCTTCCTGAACCCAGAAGTCCTCATGCCGCGTAAATGCATTGTTGTTTTCTTTTGGCAGGCCTGCTAGCCTCTCTCGGAGCACACCGCGCTTCCTAATTCTCTTTTTTTTTCGGGGGGTGGGTCTAGCGAAACAATCAGTTTGATGACTGCTACCAGCAATTCCAATGGCATTTCTTCTGCAGTTCGGATGAAAGCATTCTTGATCCATTGCCAGTTCTCCCAAGACTTGCAGAAACAGGCTCACAGCTTCCCTTTCTATTTTTTGGCCAGCCAAGAGCTGTGTGCCTGCAGCCTCCTGCTAGAGGAGCAGCTGTGCTGTGCTGTGCTGAAGACACTCCTCAAGATAGGGGAGAAAACATCAGTAGGAATCAGACAAAAAGGCGACAAGTATGAGCCACAATGGAGAGAAGAAGCTTAATACGATGACCGTCGTCCAGAGGGTCAAAGACCATGCGTTCCATTCCCATCTGTACATAGTCCTGTTTGAGCTTCTGACAGCATCAGCTCAGAGTCAGACCTTTTAAACACAGGGGAAAAATATTTTCCAAAATTCTCTTTGCTTAAGCACTATATATTCAAAAAGTTTTTTTATTGTTTCAGTATTTTAGCCCTTAGTTGATTAGTCACCAATACCTGTCAGATGCCCGCTGCCATAAAAGGACTCTGAGCACCCGCAGTATTTGTAGGAATATCAAAAAATAGCTTTAGCAACTAGGAATTATGCAACAGAAGGAAAAGGCAGGACTAACTAGATTAATGCAACATGTAGTGGTTTGTTAACATTAAGTGTATGACTCGTTGCAGAATCACGCCAGAAAATGGTACCATGTAGCTTACTGGTAAGGGCAGTAAAAAGGGTAATGCATTACTTTAGTCATCAGTGAACCACTCACTCATTCAACATACTATTTCCAGCTGAATCAAAGGTTTCCTTTAAAAATGCCATTCCTCTAGAGACCGTAAGCATCTTACAACTCTCTCTGCCTTTGAACTCTACTGTGATAGCTGCTTCATTAACATTGTGGTTCCAGTGCAAAAAAAAAAATCCTCCAGATCCCACATTGTCTTCCTTTAGACTTTTGATTCCTGCTTAGTGTTCTGTAAAGCTTGAGTCTTCTGTTCGTCTACCTGGACATAGTCCACTCTCTGCTCCTCAGAGAGAAAAGGTTTCTGTCAGGGAGAGAGGAAAAAACCAACGTATTAATTTTAGAGTTGAAAAGGGATGCTAGTGAAACTTGGCTTGATTTTCTGTTTTCCTTTTCCCTTGTGCCTTGATTGCTTCACTTCACCTTGAAGCTCACAGTGACATCAACTGACAAAAGCATTGCTTTACAGCCTGCTTTAGCTATAATTATCCATCTGTCACCCTGTCACTCAGCCCAGCACAGTGAGCGAGGGAAACGTGCTGTTCTGGCTATTTCCATGCAGATAATCATTCTCTTCTCATCTGAGTGATCCTGCTGCAGGGATAACCTAACTGCATTTTAACTAAAGGGATGGTTTAAATTTAAGGAAGCTCAGGAGTCTTGAGTCTTTTGCATCCAGGAGTATTAGCTGATAGCGAAAACAATACACAGGACATAAAATGGCCCAAACCAACAACAGGTTCGTTGCTTTGCAATGGTACCTACCCACCACCTGGGCAGGTTATAAGCTCTTTGGAACAAGGAATATATTTTCTCAGCATTGCTAAGGAAATTGAAATGCTTTTGGTGATTCAAGAATAAAGATGCACATTTTGCCATGTTAGAAGAGATGGTACAGTTTTACCCTTGAATTTATCATGGGCTGTAAACTTGTTACTGCAAAGAGATTTGGGGGAAAACTAGCAGGAAAGGGTTTGTGGAGACTTGATGAAAATGAAAGAGCATGCAGAGATCCTGCATGCACCAACAAGCTTGCCCACAAACCCCCACGGCTGCACATCCCAGCAGAGTCTCGTGCCCTCTGCCGAGCTCGTGTTAATGGCAACCCCACGACTCACGGTAAGGACACCTTGTCATCACCCTAATAGTGCTTTTATTATATTAATCTTGAACCTGCCACAAATGCAATCAGCTGGAAACATGCCTGGCTTCATCATGATACTTAGGGCACCTAGCAGAGTCTGATTCTTGGTCTTGTTTTCCTCCCAGCAGACAAAAAGATACGAGGCTGTGGGGTTTTTCAAATGACTCATACCTTCTGTACAGGGGATGGGGAAGCAGAATTAAAATCCAATGCTAAGTAATCAAGGTTAGATTTCCTTGTCCATGGAAAAGCACCACTGTATGGAGATGTTGCCTGTCTCTGTTCCTGTCAGGAAAGAAGAGAAACTTTTAATGCTCTTAAAACATGATCCCAAAAGGAAGCAGGACTACAGCTGTGAGGTGGGAGACTCATCTGGCAGCAAGCGAGTGAGGAGGGTCAGCACCCACGTAATTGTCTATGCCAAGGGTGCGTTTTGTGACCAACTGCAGGATAACACTGATTAATTTTAGGATGGCATAAAGGAACTGTGAGAGCCTTTTTCACCTGGTAATTATGGCAAAACAAGCAAACTGGGCTGATTTTCATTCAATGCTGTCAGGAAGGACTTGCACCCAGATTCTCAACCCAAGTCCTTGAAAGGCTCAGATTTGCAGGGGTGCCCTCTTAACCATCATCATTCTATGAGTTTGAAGAAATGGTGGTAATTCTGTTCAAATCTAGCAACTGGAAATTTATCTCAGGAAAATCACAGATGACCACAAATGTAGGGAAGGTTTTATTTGACTAGAAAAACCAAATGGAGAGTAGTTACAACTGGAACTGCCCCCCGAGCAGATTTTGATCTAGTAGAGGTGTGGGTTAAAATTTGAGGCTATGGTTCATGGAGATTGTGGTCAGTTTTGCCATGTATTTCTACAGCCATTGGCCACTGGGCTTTGGTTATGGAGCCAAATCTGTAGACATTGGCTCAGATCAAGGGATTTGAGATCTATTTCCACCTAAAATTCAAAGGAAACTGAGATTCTGGTCTTTTGCAAGATATGGCTAAAGAGTGAATGAAGAAAAGGAAGCCACAAAGCCAGATGTTCTTCTTTCATGGGATGGGAAGTGGGGTTAGTGCCACCAGCCAAAGCAGAAACAATAAGAGACTTTAATGGGAGTTCTGTTTCTGCACAATATTTGGTGTGTTTCTTTAGGAAGTGTACTAACGGCTTTCTGTCATTTCCTAGGAGATTCTGCAGGGCACACTTTTAAAAGGTGAAAAGATTTAATTTTCCTTTGCCTTAATGAGTTCTCATGTAAATATGGCTGATCCCTGTGATCTCTTGGAACTGCTCAGCAACATTCGTGGGCGAACAGCTGAGTTCTGCAGAGCAGAAGAAGGGCTTCCCTTATCTCTCCGTAAATTGGTCCCAGTGTCTTTGGTTTAAAACCGTTTCATCATTTTTTTAAAAAAACAGAAGGCAAAGGACAAACCTCCTCAACATTTTTTCTTAGAAAACAAACTTCTGCATTCTCCATCAATGTGACAGAGCAGAATAAAGCAAAGGATGGCTGTGTGAAAATGAAGATTACCATATGAATGTAACTTTCTTCCTCTTCTCCGGAAACTGAATTGGCAAATATTCTTGCTGAATTAATACCGTCTCTTTCTGGTGAGATAAAGCTCATTCGATTGCTATGAAGAAAAACACAGGAGAGGTTAAGGAAGCATCTTACAGATGCTCTGAAATGAAGCCAAAGCCTGACACAGTCCATATGGTGAATAAACTCACACTAACGCTGCAGCCTTTATGGAGAGGATGTCCAAAACCACTCCTTAGTTCTAGAAAAAGCATGCTATATTGCTATGAGTGGTTTTGTTGATTTTTTCCTGGGATTTATGAAAGTTTGCCATCTCTGGTATGACAGAAAGCATAAACCATTGGAGCAGTTCTCCAACAAGGGGCACAGAGACAGATACCATTCATCCGGGTAATATGTGCCACTTAGTTGTGCGGGTATCCACATTTTGGAGATCAATGTGAATTAATCAGCTACTGGAGGCGCAAGCAGAGGAACTTGTCTGGCTTTGAACACAGTGTAAACACATGCTATCTGTGCTATAGAGGTGGCTGCAACTAAGCCCTCGTACAAGGAAATCTCTACCACTAACACAATCGTCAGAGGTATATCATGAGTAAACTATTGCAGACCGGCACAATGGGGTTAGTTATTCGGAAATGAGATGGCCACTTTGTGCAGCATGAACAAGTATAATTCCTTGTGCTTTATTAGTTCCGGGCATACTTCTTCTTTAGTTTTGTTAATGTAAAACATGCAAATTCCCTCTGAGCTTGTTATCCTTCAGGACTCTGCACTGTGTCAGCACTAATTAACCACAGCGCTCTGGCAGGGATGCTTGGGAGGCAGGCTACTGGGGTTTCCCTAACAGGCAGCATGTGGCAGGCAGCACCAAAGGGCTTAACTGGCTTTGGACTGTATGGCTGGGAGAGGGGTCTGCAATTGTGAAACTGCCCATCTCGTGTCCCTTTTGCCCTCCAACAACTACCTGAGGCGGCGGGAGTGGAAATGGCACTCAGGCTAGTGAAAAACCACATTTTCCGGAGTGCCTGGGGTATGCAGAGGAGGTTGGTGGGAATTCCTGGCTTTTGCATGCACACTTCATTCAGCACAGCTGGCTTTCCTGTCAGCCCTTCCCCGTAGTGCCAAGATCCCCCCAACCAGCAGGCTGCAGTCCTCCCCTGCTCACGAGTTCCCTGAAGAAGAGTCTTTCACTGCCCTTGGAGCCCAACAGTATCATCTATTCATACTTGGCTTTAGGACCAAAAGAATTTGTTTTACCCCACAACTAATTTCCAGTGACAAAAGGTCACACCAACAGATCACATCTGAATTGCTGTGTGGCAGTGCAGAAGTCTGCACCCAAGCTACAAGTCAGGCAGATCTTGTCTGGTCCTCCTTTGCTATATTAATTTTCAGGAATAAAAATGGCTCTATCACTTTGAAAAAAATATAATTAAGGCATGTGAAGCTTTTAGCCGTTGCAGCAGCCACACCAGAGTGCAGACCAGCTCCAGCCTTTTCAAAAGGAACCTTCAGAACAGACTGAGCATCACTGCGTGATGCTGAATGCACTGGAGCTGCCCATTGTGAAAGGGAACCTTGTGTTTTAGAGACAGCAAAAGCCTGGGAGATGCTGGAAGGAGCCCTGGGGGAATTTTTGTTTATGGACTTTGCCAGGAAACTGTTTCTTGTGGGATGTGGTAAGTTATCTTCAACTCCATTCCACAATGTTAATGCTTAAAAGATTGGAACGGCAGGTTTCTTGTTGACTTACTAAGGCACAGTCCACATCCTGGTCACGGCAGCATGCTCCCGGATTGTGGAGAGGTTCCTCAGGTCCAGAGGAGGTGGCCGTGCTGCAAGTAGATATAAAAGGAAGTACATTTCCAATAGCAGAGCTAATGAAAAGTATAGACTGTTTAGAAAAATGCAGTTTTATATTAACAGCAAGAAACCAACAGAGTATTTCACAGAACATAACTGATATAACCAAGACAGAAATCAGTAACAAATGACCACTTCGGTCAGCTCTGGAAAGCAAAGTCCCTCATTTACCCTAAAATAACAGAATAAATACAATGGGCATAAGGAGAGCAAATGCCCCACAAGATCCATGTGCTTGCCTCAAATCTGCTCTGCATATGGTGCCTTCAACAGGAGAGGCCAGTTCAGCCTTGATCTGGTTTCGGCTGGGATAGAGTTAATTTTCTTCCTAGTAG